GTCTCGAAATCCAAAGCCCTTATTCTTACCCAAAACCGGCCCGTTGCTAGCCCTACCCAAGATAATAAATGGCATGTTCAACAGCCCAAGACATAACCCACATGCAGAACAATACATAAAGAAAAAAAAAATGGCAATCCAAACCCTACCCAGGGAAATTATATGTCCAATTCCACCAGCCCAAGTCATAACCCGCATGCAGAAAAATATATAGAGATACAAAAAACTATTTTTTTGTAATTTGAACTGTATTAAATTATAAAATATTAAAATTTGATTTTGAGAAGTGTTTTTTTATTTTTCTACTAATTCTTGATATTCAAAAATTATATTAGATTTTGATTTATTTGAAATTGAATTATATTAGACTCATATAGGGAAAACTCTCTTAATTATCTATTTTTCATTCATAAAATTAAACTTAAAATTTTGTTTTAAAAAAATTGAACTCTTTTTATTTAAATTAATAAATTTATATTACAAAAAAAACCTCTCCTAATTTAATAACTGTTGTTTTTTATACTACATCGCAAAACACTAAACTCAAAAGAAATAAGAAAAAAAAAATGAAAGAAGACAGAGTGTACCCTTTGCTTCATTCCCGACGATGTAAAAATTCCGCGTCTCTTTGACAATATCATTGGAGACTTCTTCCACCGGCGGCATTGTTGTGGGGTGCCATTCTTCTTCTTCTGCCGTCCATGCAGATGCAGGCCACCGTAGGAATTCCGAGACAAAGTATTCATCCTTGACAACGGCCTCCTCTAAATGATTCCCTAACGAAATGCAAAGGCAAATGGAGACTTAATTCTTTCCCAAACCAATGGAGGAGGAAAATTTATATTTCGATGCGCCCACTCATGGAGATCGAACGAGTATATAACGTGTTCCCAACAAGGGAACGCCAAGATTCGCAGTTTTCATTTGAATTTCCATTTGAACATTTATTATTCAATTCAGACGTTCGATAACAGCGAGGACATTGCAAGGTTCCGACATGAATCGCGCGTCAAGCCCCTCTTTTTCTTCAACAACCTGTAGCTAACGGATATATTTCTTAATTCTTACGGTGTCAAACATGCATTTATTGCATTTTTCTTAATTATTATAAAAAAAAAATTGTTTATTACTTTATAGGCTTGTTTAATTTGTACTTTACGGTACAAGTTAAAAATATATTAAATATATATTTTTATCATAAATTTATATTAAAAAAATAAAAATTAATTTGTATAACATGTTTAGAATACAAAACAGGATATAACTGGATAAAATTAAAACAATAAGATAAGATTGGATTGAATAGTATTAATTATATGATATCTTATA